GGAGTTCTCTTGAATAAATTGGGAGCATGGGGACGTTGGGGGTGAAAGACCTTGATAAATCCAAACCCCTCTAGCAGAAAAAAAGAGCCAAAATCTAAGCAGGGAAAGAAGAATCAAAAATCTAGGTTAGCAGGTTCAGTGACTCACTCAGGAACTAGCTGAAAATAAAGTTAGATTATAATCTTGAGAAAAAGGGAGTTACCCCCTTATGATTATCACTGGTAGTTTCAGAATTTTTCAATGATCACTGGTATTTTTGGAATTTTCCAATGATGCCCTCCCTACCCCCTTTGGATTACTGGGTTGTAGTTTCTTCCCTTAAATACCCCTTCTCCCAGCTACTGGGGCGGAACTCTCTACCCATGCTCGGGAAATGAGTTTCGGCCCCAGGGCACAGGCTCCTGTCCTGTCAATAAACCTCATGTGATTGCAGCAAGGATGGTCTCTCTGTCTCTCGTGAGTTCCAGGGGGGGTCGTGATATCCCAAGACTTGAGTGAGAGTCTCCCTGCTCCTGTGGTCTTTCAGGGGAGGATTGAAGGGGGAGGGAAGAGACAGGGAGAGGAGCAGAGAAAATGCAGAGCTCAATGAATATCAATAAAAAAATAAATATTGAAGAAAAACTTTTAGCGTAAAAGAAAAAAAATTAGGGCTGGAGAGATGAGTCAGAGGTTAAGAGCACTGGCTGTTCTCTGGAGGTCCCGAGTTCAATTCCCAGCAGCCACATGGTGGCTCACAGCCATCTGTAACAGGATCTGATGCCCTCTTCTGACTTGCAGATAGAGTGCTCGTATCTAAAAATAAAATAAAATAAATTAATTAATTAAAAAAAAGACTGGAGAGATGGCTCAGTTGTACAGTGCTTGATACACTAGCCTAAAGGACTGTGATTGAGCAGAATTCACATCAAAGCCTGGTATCATTATATGGACCTATAATTACAGCACTGGTGTAAAAACAAATGGCCTTTTTTAAAAAAAATCTATGATATGGTTCCTCTGTCTTGGAACTCGCTCTTTATACCAGGCTAGCTTTGAACTCACAGAGATCCACTTGCCTCTGCCTTCAGAATGCTCGGATTAAAGGTGTGCACCACCACCACCTGGCTAAAAAAAAAATTTTTTTTTTAAATGTAGCTAGCCTTAGTTGGTATGGTGACACAATCCTTTAATCCCACTACAGAAGGAAGAACAGAAGATTCTCTGAATTCAGGAGTAGCCTAGTCTATAGAGTTCCAGGAAACCCAGCCTCAAACAAACAAACAAACAAACAGATGAATAGATACATACATACAAGGACCAAGCCCATCAAGAGCCAAAATTCCATAAATTTTCCTCACTTTGTAAAAATTTTAGGCAAATCTTATAATTTCCCCCATCTGGGAGATTAAAACATTTATAACATTTTCACATTTGCTTACAGGAAGTGTATCCCTTCTCATTCTGGAATCTGATGGCCTGAAGTGATCCTGTCTCCCTTCTCCTTCCTTTCATTTTCCCCAATTCTTTTAAAAGCAGCCTGTCTCTAAAGACTGTGGTCAGGACTTAGCCATGGGTGGGTGGGGTGGGGGGGAGACACAGTCACCACCTGTGTCAGAATAAAAGCCACGGCCGGAAGTGGAAGCACCTTCATTTGACATCAGCACTCTCTGTGAGTCAGGTGCCCATGTAGTCTACAGAGGCTACCTAGAGACACCTTGCCTGAATAAACAGAATAAAAACAAAGATAACTTCCTGCTTGCTAGCCTGGATGGATTCAGATACACCCTTCCTCTGCAAAGAAAACTACTTTGTCTTTGTGTAGGTGCTCCTTTGTCTGAGATTATTGCTTATCTGTTTCTTATGCTGGGGATGTGAAAACAGGAGGATCTTGGGGTTCAATGGCCAGTAAGTATAACCAAGTCTCACTGAGCCCCCATTTCAGTGAGACCTGGCTCAAAAATACAGTGCAGAATGATTGAGGACATCTGCTGTCTGTCTCTTTCTCTGACGTCAAGTTCTGGCACTAACACACACACACCCCTTCAAACAACTTAATGACCATAAGTAGAGACTGATTTTAAAAATTATATTGCAGTAGATTTTAGTACAATGCTGCAGTTAGTACAGATTAGAATCCTGGTGGCTTGTTCTTGTAATACCCCCTCTCAGGGGTTGTTCTTGTAATACCCCCTCTCAGGGGCTGGGGGAAGGACGGTGCAGCGGGTAAAGCCTTTTTTTTTTTTTGATTTTGTGGAACCCGAGTAACAGTGAAAGGAGAGAATCAGCTCCACAAAGTTGTATCCTGGCTCTGACTCACTTCTCTCTCTCCCTTTCTCTGTCTCTCTGTGCTATCTCCCCCACACACAGACACACAGACACAATAAGAGCACTTGCTACTTTTCCAGAGAACCGAATTTCAGTTCCCAGAACCTGTATGGCAACTGACCTGAGACTCCAGTTTAAGGGGATCTGATGCCCTCTTTTGGCCATTGCAACTGAACCCAGGGATTTGTTCATTCTGAGCAAAGAACTCTGCCAAACTGAGTTACATTCCCAGGTGATTCTGAGACCGTTGCTCCCATAAATAAGTTGCTGCTTTTCCATCCTAGTCATAAATGAAATTGGGAGGACATTGGAAAGACATGTCATTCTGCTAAATCTTCTAAGCCACAACTGGTGGTGCATGCCTATAATCCCAGCACTCAGGAGGCAGAGGCAGGTGGATCTCTGTGAGTTCGAAGTCAGCGTGGTCTACAGAGTAGAGTGAGTTCCAGGACAACCAGGGCTACACAGAACAACTCTGAAGGCCAGCTTGGGTCAGAAAGTGAGATCATGTCTCAAAAAACAAAGAAACGAATTCACCTATATACATACACTCTCTAAAATGTAAAAACTAAAACCAACTAAGCAAGCAAATGCAGAGCAAAAGCATGGTAGTGCAGACTGAAACTCCAGCATTTGGGAGGCAGAAGCACAGGACTGACACACATTTAAGCCCAGGCTGGTCACACGCTGAGCTCCGAGCCAGCCACAACAGCACAAGATTCTGGCTCAAAGAAACCAGCTCAGCATATCTTTTCCACACTTACTGCTTTTGGTTTCAGATTAGTTTGTAGCAATACATGCACGTAGAAAAAAATGGAACTATTTCAAAAAGGGATAATAACAAAAATGTGCATGTTTCTCTCTCCCAAAGTAACTGCTTCCTTGCCACACTCTAGAATTCAGAACGCCTGAGATGCCTTCACATCTAGGTCAACAATAATGTCTACAAATGCAATGATATTACACAGATAGTGCCCTGTGCTTGTTTTTTGTTTTGTTTTTTAGACTGAATTTCTCTGTGTAGCCTTGGTTGTCTTGGAGCTGTAGACAAGGCTGGTCTAGAACTCAGAGATCTGCCTGCCTCTTTCTCCAATGCTGGGATTAAAGGCCTGTGCCATTCCACCGAGCTTTGTGCCTTGCTTTAATACTAATACTAATAATGATAATAACAGATTTAGAGGTGCTGCGATGGCTCACTGGGTAGAGGGGCTTTGTGGCTAAACCTGATAACCTGAGTTTATCTCTCAGGACTCAGGAGTGCAGGTCTCCAAAATAAATAAAGTAAAACAGGAGCCAGGAATGGTGATTCATGCCATTTATCCCAGCATTTGGGAGGCAGAGGCTTTGAGTTCAGGGCCAGCCAGTGCTACACTGGGAAACCTTTGGGTTTGGGTGGGGTGAGGGTGGTGGGTAAAATAGGATCTTTTCCTAACAGCAGCACAAAGAAATCTCCACTTTTTCTGTCTCTTATTTTGTGATACTTGGGTTTGGACCCAGCACCTTGTGCATGTTAGGCAAGCCTTTCATCACTGTGCCCAGAACTACACTAATCTTCTTCATTTCTTTTCTTTTCTTTGTTTTTTCGAGACAGGATTTCTCTGTAGCTTTGGATCCTGTCCTGGACCTCACTCTGTAGATCTGCCTTGCCTCTGCTTCCCGAGTGCTGGGATTAAAGGCGTGCGCCACAACCGACCAGCCAAAAAAAATGTCCTAGATCCGGTGTATGCTCTGTCAGGCACATGGGATGTTCTTACGGGAGCAGGCTAGCTGCTGATCCGGAGAGTTTTTTTTAAAGCAAACAGGACGTTCCCCCGGGAGCATGCTAGCTGCGGGTTTTGAGGAGGGGGTCTGTAGGGTCTTTCAAAAGGCGTGCGCCACAACCGACCAGCCAAAAAAATGTCCTAGATCCGGTGTATCTCTTTAGGGTAACATTTCCCTTCTAAGTGGGCTGTGTACATTTTGGTGTGGTCAGGTTTCTACAGAAAAACCTGAAATTTACTGGCAGGCCTGACTCGAGGGGATGAAGCGGCAGTCAGACTACTGCAGGAAGTGGGAAATTGAGGTGGCCGCCATCGGATTTGCAGACGTGTGATGACTGGGTCCAGGGAACCGGTTTGTAGGACAGCCGTCTAGCTAGGCGGGCTGAGGCCACTTCCTCCGGCAGTTCACCCTCGGGCGCCCCAGCGTGGCCTCCTCCCCGAGCTCAGGCAGACTCGGGCGCGCTCCCTCGGCCGAGCCCGCGGCCAGGGCGGGCCCTCCGCACTGCTCCGGACTCCACCCAGGCGCTCCCACCCCCGCGCCGCGGAAATGCGGTCCGGCCGGACCCTGGCGCGCTTCGACGCGCCGATTGGACGACGCGAGCGTCCGTCAGAAACTCGGGTACCCGGATGAGAAGCTGTGCGCGATACAAAGGCGAACATTCCACCCCGCTTTCCGTCGGGGACAGTGGCCAATGACCACGCTTCAGAGTCTGATTGACAGGAGGCCGCACCAATTACTAACCAGGTTCTGTTACGCATGTGAAAATTCTCCCAACCAGACCGACCCACTCCGGGTTGTGATTGGCTAGTGCTGTGAGGAGCAGTAGAGCCGTCTAATTAGGAGCGGGAGCGAGAAAAGTCCCAGCCAATAGGAACGCCCCCGGGAGCGGGGCGGGGCCCGGACCTTCGCCTCGGCGGCGGAGGAGCTCGGGGGCCATTTTGTGGAGAGACGGAGAGCGAACGGTCGTGCGCTGCCCGCCCGCTGGAGCCTCGGTCTCGGCACGGACCCGCAGCAGGAGCGGCCGTCTCTTCCTCCTCCTTCCTCCCGGTAAGCGCAGGGCGAGCTCAGGGCCGGCGCGGTCCGGGCCCGCGAGGGGTGGCGGAGACAGCGGCCTCGCGGTGGCAACGGAGCCCGCGTTTGGCCGCGGTGTGGGGCTCGGGCCCAAGGCGGGAGTCCAGGCCTCGGCCCTGGCGCAGGCTCAGCCCGGTGACCTCCAGGCCCCGGCGGCGCGGAGGATGCCCCGCTGCGCGCTCGCGTCTAACGGCCGCTTTGGCTTCCGTGGGCCTTGAGGACTCGAAGGTGGGAATGCATGTTAACATGACTGTGGTGTGATGTCTGCGCTGTTCCGTTATTGCCTCCTAAGTTGGACGTCGGGCGGGGGTGGGGAGCGATACCCCGATGTACTGGAAGCTTCTGAATTCCGGGCGGGCCACATGGCCTCAGAACGGCGTTTTAACAATAGGCGGAGTATTCATTTACTTTTGCTTCCATAGAAATAAATGGTCGAAGTCGGAGTGGTTTCTGCTTGTAAAAGGAAGTGCCGCAGATTGACTATAATTGCAGTAATTACAGCTGACTTTTTATCTACAGGTTACAAATCACTCGAAATACATAAGTTAGTGGAACTTTGCTTGAGGTAGGTACTACTGCCTTTCTCAGAAGAGGTAGACAAAAGTGGTTGACAGTATCATGCTAAATTAGGAGAGGAAGATATTTTTAGGGAGGTCATGTATTGTTTACTGAGTACTGGAATGCTGTGTACAAAAAAGACAGTTGAAATTTTAAGGAAGCGGATCCCGAAATTTAAGGTACCAGGAAATTTCCAAGGTTGGCTTGGGAACAATAATTAAAGACAAAATCTTTTCCGGATTCTATCCATCTTTTCTATCCATATTATCTTGTCCATTATTCTATCCATCTCAACTTGGGCAGTAAGCAGATTCCAGCTAGGTGTGGTAGTTCAAGCCTGTAATCGTTGCACTCCAGAGGCCATGAGACAGCCCAGAACTATGAAGTAAAACCGTGTTTTTTTTAAAAAAAAAAAAAAGGAAAAGGAAAAGAACAGAAAGCATTAATCGCTCGGTTGTAGGTGTTGCGTTCTTGTTAATGTAGTCCAGTGGTGCTTAGGATGGATGAACGGTGGTCTGGATTCAGTCAAAACACTAATAGTTTATGGTGTCACATTAATTTATCCAGGAGTTAATTTAACCCCCACAGGGTATCTGCTTTGGAGCCTGTACTTAGGCTGGCCTTGAGCCAGCCTGCCTGCCGTTGAAGGCCTTTGCCACCTACCCAGCCTCGGAGTTAATTTTTTAATTAAGGTTTTTTTTTTTTTTTTGGTTTTTCAAGACGTTTTTCTGTGGCTTTGGAGCCTGTCCTGGAACTAGTTCTTGTAGGCCAGGCTGGCCTCGAACTCACAGAGATCTGCCTGTCTCTGCCTCCCGAGTACTGAGATCAAAGGCATACGCCACCACCGCCAGGCTGAGTAAGTTAATTTTAAGTTGTTTTGTATAATTCATAAAAATTATGGTACTAAGCTTAGTTTAAACTACTGCTATGCAAATTTAACCTTTAAGCATACTTGAGAATGTGTGTGATGGTCTACTCCTGTAATTTAAGCATTTGATAAGGAGCTGGGACCATCTCAAGGCCAGCCTTGGTCTTGGTACACTTAGTTGAAGTCCCAACTTGAGACCCTGTCTCAAGGACAACAAAAGCAGAGGTCGAAAAAAAGTTAACCTCTGTGTGGTGTTTTTTTGGGGGGTGGGGGAGAGGTTTCAAGACAGGGTTTCCCTGTAAACAGCCCTGGCTCAGAACTTGATTTTTATACCAGTTTAACTTTGAACTCCCGCTTCTCCCTCCCAAGCGCTGGGATTAGAGTGTGCCACCACCACCCAGCCTATGGTTTAAGTTGCAAGCATACACGTCCCTAAGAGTAGAGTTTTGCTCTAGAGAAATAGGAAGTAATCCATCAAAAATAGTGTTGCAAAGGTCAGCCTGGTCTACAGAGTGAGTTTCATTCAGGACAGCTAAGGCTGTTAGAGAAACACTGGTTCAACAAACAAAAATTAAGGTCAAGTTACTATGTGAGAAGACTATTGGTAGTAGTTGAGATTAGTTGAAAAATAGCTGCCATTAAATGTTAGACATGCCGGGTGGTGATGGCGCACGCCTTTAATCCCAGTACCCCGGAGGCAGAGGCAGGCAGATCTCTGTGAGTTCGAGGCCAGCCTGGTCTACAAGAGCTAGTTCCAGGACAGGAACCAAAAACTACGGAGAAACCCTGTCTCGAAAAATCCAAAAAAAAAAAATAATAAATAAATAAATAAAAATCAATGTTAGACATGCAGGCCAGGCGTGGTGGTGCAGACTCAGTCCCAGCAGAACAGGCTGATTTATGGTTTTGAGACCAGCCTGAACTCTAAAGTCCCCAGGCCTCTATAACCCTTCAAAAGTGTTAGAAATGAAGATTCCTAAATGTGCAAGGTTTAAATTCCCGAATTAGTAGTATCTGTTAGGAATTGAGCTATAGAATATTTGAAATAGTTGTAGACGATTCTTCAACTAGGTGAGCACTGATAGCATTTCAGATTTGGTCGCATAGGAGGACATACAGATGCTTAAAATCTTCATTTGCCATTTTCAGAAATATTTGGTAGTAGTTAATTCTGTAGAGAAATAAAACATAACTTGTAATTTGAACTCCAGAAGTTTGTGGTCTAGTTATTGACTGTTAGTAACTAGTAAGGATATTTTTCCAAATTGTTGTAATCTTAAATATTGAATGGTGAGTGGATTATTAACGAGAATGAAACAGTTGAATTAATCTTGGCCTGAGTAAAAATTACGTTAAACTTCACAGTATCCAGTAAATTAGTCCCCCCCCCCCCCAAGGTTTTTCACTAGCTCTTGTAGACCACACTGGCCTCGAACTCTAGGACCTGCCTGCCTCTGCCTCCTGAGTGCTGTGATTAAAGGAGTGTGCCACCACCGCCCGGCCCAGTGAATTAGTTTTAAGTTTAATTAGTTTTCAAACTCCTGAACAGGGGAACTTAGACTACCTATTTTCATTTCTATAGAAAACTTTTGCTGCAAAAAGATGATACGCTGAGAGGTTACCACACTTCTCCCTGGTTTCCTAAATTATTAGTGCCTCGAGGTGATGTACACCTTCCTGTACTTGGTAGGTAGAGGCAGGCTGGTCTCTGAGTTGGAAGCCAGACTGGCCTAAAGACCTAAATTCCAGGCCAACTAGTCAATGCTATTAGCTTCCTTAAAAATAGTATGCCTGTACATGGTCCAGCATTATATGCTTATGAGTCATACACTCAACTTTCATTGGAAGGTTTGTGGTTTTGTATGAAGTAGATTTACTGGCTGATGATAACAGCTTTCAGATGTAGCAAAACTGCAGGTGTTTTTAATAAAGATTTAGAAAAACTACAATGGGTAGAGTTTCCTGGTTAAGTTTTCACAGATCCCAAAAGATAGAAGTTGATAGAATCAGTAAAGGACTGAGTTTCTGTTTAAACTATTCCAGCTGACAGATTGCTGTACTCTTTACTACCAGTTTCTAAATGAGTTACGGTTTTCTAGGGTTTTTTTTCTTTTTGGTTTTTGAGACAGGGTTTCTTTGTGTAGCCCTGACTGTCTTTGAACTAGCTTTGTAGACCAGACTGGCCTCAAATTTACAGAGCTCCATCTGCCTCTGCTTCCTGAGTGCTGGAATTAAAGGCATACATTACTAAGACCCAGCTTTTTTTTTTTTTTAAGATTTTTTTTTTTTGTTTCTTTTTGGATAAAGGGTTTCTCTAGCTTTGGAGCCGGTCCTGGCACTTATTCTGTAGGCCACACTGGCCTTGAACTATTAATATCTGCCTTGAGTGCTGGGATTAAAGGCGTGCACCACCACTACTCAGCAGAAAAGCCTTTTTTTTTTTTTTAAATAAGTGGCAGTATATTAGTTTGATAACTTGGGTGAGAAAACTTGATGACATGGAACATGCAATGCTTCTGGTAGTTTTGTTTTTGTTCCTTTTAAAGTAGACTCACTTTGTAACTCTGGCACTCTCACTCTCCTGGGTCTCCATGTATAGACCAGGCTTAGAGAGGTTACCTACCTCTGCCTCCCTAATTCTGGGAGTAAAGGTGTGTCCCATTCCGCCAAGATTACATTGCCGCTTTTTAAGTCTGTCTTTTGTATATGTACTAAGGATTTTATTCATTGACTATTGGCTTGACATCCTGAAGAATTTGGTACTGGGTTCAGGATAGTACCTAATGAAAAATTTTCATTATAATTGCCTTCAAAATACAAATAGCTTTCAATTGTTAATAATGTTCTACCGGGAAACAATACAGTTTTTATATTTGTGTAACCTTGTCTATTTGGAATTTACACTTAGTCTTAAAGAGTTTGTAGACTTTGGTGTATTTAAATATGGATTTATTTTGATGAATAGTTTTTTAAAGGATCAGTTTAAAATTTTAGCAGAAGTAAGATTGTTTATGGGAGAATAAGTCCTGATGTCTAAATCAAATGGGAATGTAACAAATTTTTTTCACAGTGAGTAGCTATTAACTGCATTTCTTTTTGCTGATGAAAGTTTGTCATTACATTATTTCAGTTTTACATAATGTGTCAGATTCTTCATCCCTGGGATTAGGAACACTAGATGATAAAAAATGGAACACAAATCAGTAAGGACACAATTTTTATCACCCCTTTCATAACATAAAGTGTTCATGGACCTTTCCTCCATCTGTATGGTTTTCACTGTAAGTGATGATAAATAAAAAGGGCTGGCTCCTTTTTAAGAACATCTTTCACCCTGGCTGTAGAACCTTATCAGTCTTGTAGTCTTTCACTCTTTGGCTTTGAGAATAGAAGAGGCCCTTTTAGTGTTTGTATTCATGGTAGACCTCTCACCTTCAGTCTGTTTTAATCACAGGAAAAAAGCTACATGATCTTAGGTTTGAAACCCATGAATCTGTTTGACTTTTATTCACGTCATCTCCATTTGTTGACATGGTTTTTCCGTATTTTCTTTATTGCCCAAACTGCTGATTACAAAGCTAACATTCAAATGTATACTCTTATCCGTCCCCTTGAAGGGAATACAGACTGGAATTGAGTTCACTTCAGCCACATACTGATCTGAAGAATTGTATAAACAGTCACTAATAGAAGTGATGAATCTCTAAAGACTCCATCCCAGTGAAATGTTAATGCTTTACCAAAATGTGTTAGATGCAGCAGACAGTTTTCTGTCTTGGGTTTAGGGCACATTTCTGAGAACTATGACTCAATCTGTCCCTTCTCCTTTCACAGGGCAGCAAGGCGAACCCCATCCTTACTCACTGGAGCTCAGCTTTGATTTTTAACTTCCCTTCCCCACCCTTCCAGAACACACACATCCCCATTCCAAAATTGATTTTATAAAGACATTTTAAACATAATGATGCAACTTGGTGTGCACTACAGCAAATATACAGGTGTTTTTTTAAAAATTATTTCCAAAAAAGACACAAAAAAACGGGACCTGGATTTAAGATGTAATTTTTAAAATTTCTATTTCTATTTTTTCTGCAGCAGTTGGGTTAGAGGAGGAGCCTTTTAGCCTCATAAACTGACCTCTCTACTTCCTCGTGTATTTTTAAGATTAACAGATGATGTGGAAAGGGCTTTGCTTGTCTGCTATTGAGAACATTACCCTTGCGGTTTTTGTGGAAACTGCTTTTGGAAAAGAAAAGAAATGAACTTTATTGACTTGATATTTTTACACCTCCCGTTTTTCTAATCTGGGCTATTTTTATTTTTGTTTTTTTACAGTGAGATTTTTTTGATCTTCAGCTACAGTAAGTTATTATAATTTTTTTTTTACATTTTTCCTGACTTTCGCTGGTTTCCTTTTTATTGTTGTTACTTACTAGTTATTTATTATTACTATACTTATTATAATGGTGATGATGATGATGATAATGATGATTTTTAACCGGATTAAAGTGGAGTTTTTCTGAATGTTAAGATTTCTTCAGCCTCCTGATTGACTTTGGAGTTTTCCATCTTGGGAGAGAAAGTGAAAGTGTTAGCATTTTTAAGTAGTTTGATCACATAAACCTTTTCTCTCCCAACCCCACCCTTGCCCCCAACCCCCTTCCCCACACTGGAAATAATTTTACTGGCTGTTAAGTCTTTGACCTTATTTTTCCTGATCTTTAACTTAACTGTTTTAGAGCATCTCTGGACGTCTGTATTTTTAATTTTTTTTCTTTTTATTTTTTTTCTTTTTAATCTTTCATTTGTTAAATTTTTAAACTGTGCTGCAATAAAATGTGTGTGGTACTATTTAACACCTATAGTGGCGATGGCATTTTCCCAAAAAGCCATCTTCCTACTGTTTCCCTTGAAATCCCATCCTGCTTTTCCTGTACACTACCCCTCACAAACCACAAGACGCAGCAACATGGATGCCCAGCCTGGAGCAGCATCAGCCAGGATGACCTGGAGCCAGGGGGGCCTTCGGAACAGATGTACACCCTTCCTGGGTGATGGTAAGAGGTGTGAGGTCCACTTGGTTTCGTTGCAAAAACTAGGAAATAGACTCATTTTAAGTTTAGGTGATGCATAGGTCAGCCCCTGGAAATTCCTACAACTAGTCAGTCTTTCTCAAGTCGTTGAGCTGTTTCAAGTAATCTTTGGGATCTGGGCATATTATGCTTGGTTGACAGTACCTAATGTGCATGAGACCCTGAGTTTGGTTCTTGGTACTCCATAAACTGGGCCTGGTGATAGGCACACCTGTGATCCATATGGTTAAAGGTCTTCCCTTGGGTTGCACAGTTTGAGGAATGCCTGATATATATGAAACATTGCCTCAAAACAAAATAAATGCAATTTCCATTATATTTGGAGAGGTGGCTTATTTATTAAGTTCTTTGGTAGCTCTTCCAGAGGTCCTGAGTTTAAATCACAGCAACCACATGCTATCTCACAGCCATTTATGTCCATGGATCCAATCACAAGAAATAATACTATAGTATTAAAATAATACGACAAAGAAGGGTTTTTGAGATTAAAGGAAAGGATAGGTATTATAAACTATAAAAAAGGGATAGATTACGCCAGGCGGTGGTGACGCACACCTTTAATCCCAGAGGTGGGTGGATCTCTGTGAGTTCGAGACCAGCCTGGTCTACAAGAGCTAGTTCCAGGACAGGCTCCAAAACCACAGAGAAACCCTGTCTCAAAAAAACCAAAAAAAAAAAAAAAAAAAAAAAACCAAAAAAAAAATAGATTAAGGTTCTAGACATCAGTGGATATTGTCTAGTGATGTGTGAAGCCCAGTTAGCCGTTGCTAACTTCTCGTGCATAGGTAGCTGCAGTTAGGAATATTGGAAGTATTTATATATATATATTTTTAAAGACAAGGTCTCTATATAGCCCCGGTTGCCCTGAAACTGTGGAGCAGGCTAGTCTCAGATCTGCCTTCTCTGTTCCCAGTGCTGGGTGGGATTAAGGGAAAGCACCACCACATCCAGCCACTGCTAAACATTTTAGAGTTAATGTAGGTTTTAACATGGAGAAATGAGATCTGTGTCATGGGTAATCATATGCCCTCCTGACTTGGACAGAAAGAAAAATACAGGTCAAATGGCACAAAAGTAGCATCAAAGAAAATAGTGAAACATTAAATGAGAAGCCCCTGAGGTCTGGGAAAGGAGTGGATTCTCTCTACCTTTTATTCAGTATTGTGTTACAGCTGTTCATCATAGGGTCAGTTTATTTCTTTGTTGTGTATTTAAGGTTATGCTTTTCTTGTTTCCAACCAAGGATCTTGTCAGGAGAACCTCAGCCTCACTCATGGTGATAGATGGAGTGAGAAATGATACCATATGATGAGATTTAGGCACAGATCTGTAGAACGCAAAAGTGGGTGTTTAACTGCATCAGGAGGAAGAAAACTGAATCTTAGGTTAAGGCCAGGTGATAGAAATTTGTGCTTTTGTATTCTGTATGGTGTCCCTCTACCTCCACCCCCCAGTGTCTTTCTGTGTAGCTCAGGCTGTCCTGAAACTTACTGTGTTATAGACCATGATCCATCTGCCTCTGACTCCTGAGTGCTGGGATTAAAGGCATGTGCCTGACAAAATTCTCATTTTTCGAAATTAAAAAAGTGTCTAGTTTCTGCCTGTGTGTGTGTCTGTGTTACCATGTGCATGCCTGGTGCCTGTCCTCAGGGACAAGGCAGTGCCACAGCCTAGAACTGCAGTTACAGACAATTTAAGCTGCCATGTGGGTGCAGGTCCTTTAAACTGCTGAACCAACTCTCCGGCCCAAGAATCAAGTACTTTAAAAATTAATTTTACTTGGAGAAAAAGGAAATAACGGATTGAAGTCTGTGTTACTAAATAACAGTGGTTTCTTTTTCAATCTTCATCTCACTATTATCATTTAACCACTTGAGGCCTTGTTACTTTGTTGTTCTTTAACTATTGGAATTGTGTGTGACTAGGTCCTTCTTTATTTTTTTTTAATTTTTTTTTTTTTGGTTTTTCGAGACAGGGTTTCTCTGTAGCTTTGGAGCCTGTCCTGAAACTAGCTCTGTAGACCAGGCTGGTCTTGAACTCACAGAGATCCTCCTGCCTCTGCCTCCTGAGTGCTGGGATTAAAGGCCTGCGCCACCACCTCCCAGAGCTACTTTGTTTTCAAGGTCAAGTCCAGTGACCTACAACGTGAGCCCTTGTCTCAGAAAAAGAAAACAGTTATTTCAAAGACAAATTGTATCTAGACTGTTGTTTCTTCAAATTGATTTGTTTTTGATCTCCTTGATTTATCAAACTGCAGGTCATGTAGGCCAGAGTCTGGTTTCTTTTTCTTTCCTGTCATGCCGTCAGCTTTTTATTTAAAACCATTTACTCCTGCCAGGCGGTGGTGGCGCACGCCTTTAATCCCAGCACTTGGGAGGCAGAGGCAGGCGGATCTCTGAGTTCGAGACCAGCCTGGTCTACAAGAGCTAGTTCCAGGACAGGCTCCAAAACCACAGAGAAACCCTGTCTCGAAAAACCAAAAAAAAAAAAAACAAAAAAAAAACCATTTACTCCTATTTTTTAGGTCCATGTCAGTTCATTGTCTCTAGTGTATTGCAATAGACATCCACTTTTACTTTGCCTTCTGCACTAGTCTCTTCTCAAAAAGTGTCAGCTATGTTGATTCTGCTAAAATGGAATGTTTGAATGAAAGCGGGGCTTGGTGTCAGTGTACTGATAATCCAGCATTTGGGAGGTATAGTCAGGATCAGGAAGGAGTGCAACGTACCAGGATCTTAAGCTGAGTGAGACCTGCCTCAAGAAAAAATTTTAAATTATTTCAGAGCTAAAGTTAGAGTGTAACTGATCTTTCCCCTCTTCCTTACTGTTAACTGTGAGTGATAGGATTAAAGTCTCTGTCCCCACTCCTGGCTCACTGGTCATCTTACTGTGTTTTAAGTTGTTGAAGAGAGCTGTGTGCTGCTTTCTGCCACCCAGCTCCCGGCCGCCTGGCTAGCTTATGCCCGAAATAACAACACACAAACTGCATTCTTTTAAACACTGCCTGGCCCATTATATCTAGCCTTTTCTAGGCTAATTCTCATGTATTAATTTAGCCCATTTCTAATAATCTGTGTAGCACCGCTAGGTGTGCTTACTGGTTAAGATTCAGCATGTCTGCCCGGGGAGAGAGCTGCATGGCCTCTGAGCTCACTTCCTCTTCCTCCCAGCATTCTGTTCTGTTTACTCTGCCTATCTAAATTTTAACCTATCGGGGCCAAGGCAGTTTCTTTATTTAATCAATGACCTTCCTCCATCATTAAGTAACGGGCTTGAGACTGGAGAGATGGCTCAGCAGAATACTTGTTACTCTTGCAGAATATCTGTATACAGCTACCAGCACGGACATGATGGTTCCAAGCATCCAAAACTCCAGTTCCAGGGGATTTGATGCCCTTTTGGCTTCTTAGTAGTAGTAGGCACTCAAATGGTATATATTTTTGCAGAAAAACCCATATAAAATTTAAAAAAACTGGCTAGAAATGTTCTTCTTTAGGGTCTTTTTTTTCTTCTATTCATGTTAGGGTTTTTTTTGTAGGTTTTTATTCAGTAGCAACCGTAATTCTTAATCATTTAAAACTTAAAAATTTACTTTGTGTGCGTGCACTTGATCCTGTGCCCATTTAGTCCAAAAGTGCATTGAATCTGTTGGAGCTAGAGTTATAAATTACAAGGTACTTATAATAATCTACATTATATTGGTGCCAGCATCCGAGATTGGATCTATGAGAAAGTAAGATGTTCACCAGTAATCTCATGGTGGCTAATAACTGTATTTTCAGTTCCCAGAAACTGTTCTACCCTTTTCTGGCCTCTTGGCTTCTGTGGTACTAAACATGCACAGACATGCAGACCAAACACCCAGAGGGTTTTTGGTTTTTTGAGACAGTTCTGGCTGTCTTGGAACTCAGTTGTTGACCAGGCTGGACTGGAACTCACAGCCTCTGCTTCTTAAGTACTAAATTAAAGGTGTACCCCGCCACCACCCAGCCAACTTAGGGTTTTTTTTTTATTATTTATTTTTAAATTTGCCATTTTCAGACAAGGTTTCTCTGTATTTCTAGCTAACTGAAACTCACTTTGTAGACCATATTGGCCTGTTGGCTGCCTACCTAGTGCTGGATTAAAGGTGTGTGTTGCCACTCTTGGCTGGCATTATTGCTTTTACCTGTCTGCATTTGCTTTTTTTCTTAAATTCTTTGAAGTTTCTGTTTTTATTACTTGGAAAAAATCATTGGAAAATATTTTTTTTCTTTCTTTATTTTTTTTTAAATATTTATTTATTTATTTATTATATATACAATATTCTGTCTTGTGTATGTCTGCAGGCCAGAAGAGGGCACCAGACCTCATTACAGATGGTTGTGAGCCATCATGTGGTTGCCGGGAATTGAACTCAGGACCTTTGGAAGAGCAGGCAATGCTCTTAACCACTGAGCCATCTCTCCAGCCCCCTCATTGGAAAATATTATAAAATAAAATGAATACAAATTGCTTAAGGTATACTGCATTTACTTAAGTGCTGGGATAAAAGGCAGTTGTCATTGTGCCCGGCTCTTTAAGTAAAAGTTTTTAAGAGTACAGACTTAAAATCATTTGCGCCATTTCTTTAAGGTACTCAAAACAAGAACAAAGGCACTCCTTCAGAGCTGTCTGCTTTTTAAGAATTTTGTGTGCTCTTGTACCAGGCATGCATACGTACATCGAGCACAACTTGATTCTCCACTTTCACAGTGTGGCCACTGAGCTCAGGTCATTGGATTTGGTGGGAGGTGTCTTTAACTACAGAGCTATTTTGTGGGCCCAGACACTTTGTATTTTGAGGCAGGGACAATTTCACTTTTAGCTTACCAAGTAGGATAGGCTTAATGGCCAATAAGCCCCAAAAGTCAGGAATTACTAGTGTGTGCCACCATTTTTGTCTGTTTTTTTCTTTTAATTTATTAGGGGTGTTTGTGTGTGTC